GTGGGTGCTCTTATTGTCCCCATTATACAGTAAAGATACAGAAGCCCAGTGAGGTTCAGTGATTAGTCCAGCTAGTAAATACCTGAGGCAGTGTTTGAACTCTGCTCTCGCTGACTCCCAGGCCTGCCCCTGCCATGGACGTCCTGTGGGCTGGGGCTGTTGCTAGGGAGCCTGAGGCCGGGGGTAAGGGGGGGTTGGTGATGGTGGAGGTTTGCCTCCTGGTTCTTACTTGCTGGAGGTCAGTGCCTGCGCCTTTCCCACAGAGGGAAGATGGCACCGAAGGCCTAATTAGGTGTGCGTGGTGACTCTGTGGGCGCCCTGAGCCAGTTCATTTCTGAGCTTTTATTGGGCTTGGTTGGGCATACCTGGGTTCGGACAGGTGATCTCTCCAGGCCAGCTCTCCCTACACCTACACAGTATTCCTGTGCTAGATGGGAGAGGGGAAACCGAGGTCAGGGAGGCCATTCAGCAGGCCAGTGGGAAGCTAGGACAAGCTCCAGGGTTATCACTGTTCTTCTTGGCCATTAGTGACTTCCCTGTGATCCCACCGCCCATGCCCATCCGCAGGGGGCTCCCTCCTTGCCTTGGCCTCTTAGCGTTCCTAGCGTCACCTCCTCCAGGGGGCCTATCTTGATTTAGTGATGTCATTCCCCATCCCCCCCCTTGCATGTTTACTGTGTTTTGTATTTGTTTACATGTGTACATGCCATCTTCCCTCCACTCAGGACCTCTTTGAAATCTGGACTTGTTTTGTTTTATCTGTTGAGTGCCATCTAGTAGGTGCCTAATAAATGCTTGTTGAATAAATCCTGCCCCTGCTGCTTACTGGCAGTGTGACCTTGGACAAGTCACAACTCTCTAGGCCTCAGCTGGTCATCTGTAAGATGCAGGGCTTGGGCCAGATTGATGAATGGCATCCCAGGTCCCTTCTGCCTGTGAAAGGCCACTTGGAGTACACTGGCCTGTGGTGCCTAGCGGGGAGTGATTGTAGAAAGTCCCTCCTGGCTTTGTACCCTCTTCTCCTCTATGCCTCAGTCCCCTTTCTGTCTCCCCGGTGTGTGAGTGGGGATTCTAGCCATCAGCCCTTTGAGTGTCAGAGGGTGTCAGAGATGGAGCCCAGCACTTGGACCTTGGGACCAGGGTTCTCTAGGCCTGATAAAAACCTTCTTCCTCCTCCTGCTGCCCCTTCTGCCCACAGCCAGGCCCATAGGGGTTAGGTGACTTGGCCAAGGGCGCTTGAGTAGTGAGTAGAGAGTCGCACAATTAAAAAGCCCCAGAATTTGTCTTGGATAGATGTTTTTCCCCTTGAGTTGATACTGATACTTAAATACCTGGAATGTCTGTAACCCTGCCAATGTTCCATTTACTGATGTTTGTAACACCTCCATGTCCCAGCAGGCAGTGTTCCTGGGTTGGTGTGGTAGAAAAAATTAATTACCTGGTCCCCTCACCCTCTAATTTAGCTAGAATAATTTAATAGCTAGCATTTATAGAGTGCTTTCAAGTTTGCGAGGCACTTTATAAATATATCATTTGATTCTCACAAAGACCCTGGGAGGAGGTAGGTGCTATTATTATGCCCATTTTTCAGGTGGGGAAACCGAGACAAGTAGCGGTGGTGACTTGCTCGGGGTCCCCCAGCTATTGAGTGTCTGAGGTCAGATTTGAATTCAGGTCTTCCTGATTGAAGATCCGGTGCTCTATCCACTGTGCCACCTAGCTGCCTCATGGTCCTAAGGCACAACCTGCAGTATCTGCCCCAGGGGTCCATATTTTCTAGCTTGTCCTCCATTAGCATCCAGGAACCCAGTATTACCTACATATGGCAATGAGAGATATAAGGAGGGGACCTTAGTGAAAAGAGTAGCTCTCCTTTGTGTAGAGCTTAAAAGTTCGCAAAACCCTGGTGATAGGAGGATTCACGTCCCCATTTTACAGATGACATTGACGGGACCCAGGAGGGACAGTGAGTGATACGGCCAAGAGGTAGCAGCTGCTGGTCGGGATCAGCTGTGGGTCACCTGACTCACTCCAGTGCACAGAGTCAGCTCGCTGGCTTTTTGAATTAAGGCCCAGAACCTCAGTCTTCATTAAGTACAACAGATAGAGGTTCTCACACAGCTCCTTTTTAACAAGAGACCCTGAGAGAGGAATCTTACACGTGGACAGTGGTCTGGGAATCTAGCATGAGTCTGACCAGCCACTTTACTCACGGTATAAGAGTAAATACAAAAGCTTTGGCCTTGATGGTCTGGCTTCAGCTGCCTAGACTTAGGGGATGTTACCTCCCTTCCCCCAGAGTTTGCCCTTGTCCCTCTGAGCTCCGTCTTCCGCCTCTCTGCCTTTGTCCCATGTCTGGATGCACGCCCTCCTCAACTCCAAACAGTCCTTCACTTCCTTCTAGCCTTGCCTGAGCCCCTTAGTGGACGGAGCTCCATCCCTCCTTTATTTGTTGTGTGCATACTTAGCTGTTTGCTGCTGGTATTTCCCTCCCCCCTGGAATGTAAGCTCCTTGAGGGCAAGAACTGTTTTCCACTTGGTCTTTTCTCCCTGGAATCTTGTACTTAGCTGGCACTTAAGAAATGAATTAGATTGGAGTTGAGGGAAAAGGGAGGATCACAGTGGGGGAAATCTAGAGAGCTGGAAGTAGCAGAGACCTCAGAAGTCATTTTGACATTTGTATATTTTACTGATTAGAAAACTGAGGCCCAGGGGGTCAGAGGGGCTGCTCCAGGTGACCCAAGACTGTGCTTGAGTCCTGGTTCTCTGACTAAATCCCATGATCAGTTTCTGAGTCCACAAAGTGCTCCCAAGTGGAGTATTTGAAGATACCCCAGCCTTACCCTAACCTGGAGGTCATGCAAGGAACTTTTCAAATTCCCTTTGAGTCATGGGAGGCTTTGTGGTATTCTGGTGTCCTGGATAGAGCTTCAGGAGATTCAGATTCTAATCTTGACTGATACAGTCTTGTTATTTGACCTTGGGCAAGTCATGTCATTTCTGTGGGTCTCAGTTTTGCTCTCTATAAAATGAGGGGTTTGGATTAGATTAGTGGTGTTGAAACTGACCCCTATAGACTCCCTGGACATTTAGAGAACCATAAATTCACATTATCTACATTTTGTTGTACTTTTTGTTTATTTTATTAAACATTTCCAATTGCGTTTTAATCTAGACCAGGAGTTTTGCAAACTATAAGTTTGGAATAGATGATCTTGAAAGTCCCTTCTAGCAGTTTTCTATGGCTCATTTTCCCCTGCGTGATTGCATTCTAGGGGCCTGGGGCCTTTTATTTTCTTTTCTCAGCACACCTTCCATTTAGAGAAATTTTTTTCCTACAAAAATTATTTGACTTTGTTGGGGGGAGATAAGAGAGGGGATCCCTTCCCTCACTATAGTTTTAATTCTCAGTACACATTGCCTTAGGATGCAGTGGGGTGGTTTTTAATGATGTCCCATCCACCAGTGGGTCAATAATGACTTTAAAAGTTTGGACTTTTCCATTTTTTTCCTCTTGAATGTTTGGTTGAGAGCATATCCTTGTTCCTTAAAAGGTATAACTGTCATGAATTTATTTGGTTTTCCTTGCTAACCAGGCTAAATGTAAGTTGTTACCTGTTCCAGAGTAGCTGAAAACTGGGTCTTTTTTCTTGGCGTAAGAGCACCACCTCAAGGCCACACAGGTTATTCCTGGTCAAGGTTACATTTTCACATCTCTAGGCATTTTCATAGAGCAGGAAAGGAGCACCAGGTGGATGTTGAATTTGAGAAAACCTGTAATGAGCAGATGAACATAAACCAGGGGTCCAGGGCAGGCCAGGGCCTTCCTTGTGGTCCATACTACACTAGGGCAAGCTAAGCTATCATGGGGCCAGTTTTTGCTTCTGACATGATGCGGAGCAGCCAAGCTCTTCTCCCATGAGGCAGTGATGGTGCTCCTGTGGGAGAGAGCCCCTGACTGGGCTCGGGCCTGCCCTCCTGGGGCCCTGCCCTCCTGCCTCCTGGGGGCCCTGCCCTCCTGAGGCCCTGCCTTCTGGGGGCCCTGCTCTCCTGGGGGCCCTGCCCTCCTGGGGGCCCTGCCCTCCTGAGGCCCTGCCCTCCTGGGGCCCTACTTCTGTTCTTCTGCACTTGGACAGCTCCATTTCCTTTCCTTCCACCTCATCGCCATTCATATCATAGCAGCCAGATTGATGGCCATTGTTCTCTTCTCATGCTCCTTGACCTACCTCTCTGTGGCTCACGTACTGTTGGCATGAAGTGCATTCTTCCTCTGGCTTCCGGCCCCTTTACTATCTTGAGTCCCATTCCTGCTGTGTCTTCATCTCCTCTTAATAATAGTAGTAACTAGCATTGATATAGCACTTTAAGGTTTGCAAAGCACTTCATAAACATTTCATTTTATCCTCACAATGCTGGGAGGTAGGTGCTAGTATTATCCCCATTTTACAGGTGAGGAAACTGAGGCAAACAAGATTAAGTGACTTGCCCAGGGTCACACAGCTAGTTAAGTGTCTGATGCCGGATTTGAACTTGAGCCCACTCTTCTCACTGCTGTCTCCTTGCCTTTGGTCCCTCCATTCTTTCAGGCCCCATTATTATCTGAAATGTCTTTCATGCTCCCCAGTCTCTCTGCTTTTCCAATCCTGCCCAGCATTTTCCCTGTCTTCAGTCAGGATCATGTGATTTACAGCTGTAAGGAACTTTTGAGGCTAGTCCAACAATTTCATTTTACAAAGAAGAAAACTGTGGCCCACCCAGGGAAGTGATTTGCCTAAGGCCTCATAGGTGGTACAGTTAGTCAGGATTTGAATCAGACCCTCACTTTTTCCAGAGGAGCCTCCCTCCTGAGGTGAAAAGGACCACTTGCTCCCTCTTGGAGTCCGCCAGTGGTGCAGGCCTGACTCAACGCAGTAATAAAAGGAACTACAGCATGTGTGTCCGACGAAGCTTTTGTCCGCCATTTCTGCGGCTGATCTCTTCCCCCTTTGGTCTGTCTTCAGGGCTAGAGTCAAGGCAAGATGGTGGACTGGGACAGCAGCAATGCCACCTTAGCCCCATCCTCCCTGCCCAACATCACCATCCCGCACCGATGCTTACTTCTCCTTTATGAAGACATCGGCACCTCCCGGTGAGTAGAGGGGGCCAGAGGTGGGGAGGAGGGTCTCTGTGCCCCTGGAATACGGGGATGTCCTATATAACACTCTCCCTGTGTCATGTGGGGTGGTGAGTAGTAGCAAGGGCCAGGCTTGTCCACCATCCACACCTTCCTGGAACCATTGCAGTTGTTCAGACTGAGATGGACCTCACCAGAAGGGGGGATACCTTTTGGGCCCCTGTTCCTGGAGGTCTAGGATTGAGGAGGCCAAAGCTCAGCTCTGTTTACAGGATCTTGGTTGAGGAATAGAGAGAGAATGGGCCTTGGTGGATGTGTGTGTAGGGAGGGGAGGGGCAAGCTTGAGTCTGTATGTTTATGTATGTGTGTGCAGCCAAGTCTGGGTCTGTGCTGAGCTGGATGAAGGAAGCTCTGAATGTGTGTTGGGGGATCCACACCTAAATTGGTGGATTTAGATCCTAAGCCCTGGATCTGCAATGGGCAGGGGTGGGGCAGGTGGGACCAGTAGCCTGGGTCTGTCTGTGTTATGGTGATGGGAGATGGGAGGTGGGAGGTAGGGAGAGGTGGGGAAGGTAGGCCAGGCCTCCCTAACTGAGTCTTGGCATGTGGCTCAGGGTTCGGTACTGGGACCTCGTGCTGCTAATCCCCAATGTGCTGTTCTTCACTTTCCTGCTCTGGAAGCTGCCATCGGCTCGGGCCAAGATCCGCATCACCTCCAGCCCCATCTTTACCACTTTCTATATCCTGGTGAGTCCTGGGATGCTCTTCCTACCCCCACCAACATCGCCGGAAGAGCACACAAGGGACCATTTGGCCTATCCAGACCAGCTATCTCATTTTATAGTTGAGGAAATTGAGAACCGGAGAGAGCCAACCTCCCTTCCAATCCCAGGAGAATGCCTTTGTTCAGACCCCTCTCTGGGTCTCTGCCCTCTAGGATCGAAGGAGATAGTGTCTGTAAAGCACCTGGCACAGCGCCTGGTACATAGTAAGCGCTTAATAAGTGCGTGTTCCCTTTACACTCCCCTGTTTTGTTTGGGTGGTTTCACAACTGTGGGTGTCTGGGGACTTAGAAGAACAGGCAGTCCTTAGGGGCCTTACTGAATCTTGGAAATGAGAGGCCTCTAAACTTGGCATCTATTTCTCTGGGAGCCTCCATCATTACACACGCCTGCTGGTTGCTCCCGTCAAACACTAGTTTGGGCATCTACCATTCTATACCCCTTCTTGTCCTGCTGTTGTATTTTAAAGAGTAGAGAGGAAGGATGGAAGAAGGATCCAGGACCCTGAGTTAGACTTTCGGTAGGGGCCAAGGCTGTGTAGTCGGAGACTTCTTAATTGTTCTAAGGGCGTTGTTTTGGAGGATTGATGCCAAGAGGAGCTGGAGGGAGAGTTAAGGCCGTATTTCGTTCTGGTCTCTTGGTGGCAGCTAGATGGCCCAGTGGATAGAATACTGGATTTGGAGTCAGGGAGACCTGAGTTCTAATCCAGCCTTAGACGTTAGCTATGTGATCCTGGGCAAGTCGCTGAACTCTCTGTTTGCCACAGTTTCCTCAACTGTAAAATGGGCATCATCATAGCAGCTACCTCCCAGGTGAGGCTCAATTGAGATAATTTGTTAAGTTCCATAGCACAGTGTCTGACACATAGTACGTGCTTAAGAAATGGTTGTTTCCTGCATTCGTCAACTCAGGAACAGGAGGAAATAGCAAGCTGAGGCTGGGTGAAAGCATGGGAGGTACCTGCTCAGCTGGACTTCACACCCACTTATCAACACACCAGAGAAGATACAGAATCTGTTGTCAGAAGGGCTCGGTGTGAGTCCCATCCTCATCCCTTCCTCACTGTAGGACCTTGCTGGATGGACTTCAATTCAGTAAACATTTAATTAAGCATGGACTATATGCCAGGCACTGTGCTGAGTGCTGACCTAAAGTTTCATTCTCAGTAAGATCAATATTTGCACTCCCTCCCTCCCTGGGGGAGAGGTTTATGAACTGTGGCATAGGAAGTCACCAGGGCTGTTTTAAAAAAGCTTTTTTTAAACTTTTTGGACATCTTTTGCTTTTGTAGTTACCTTCATTTCCCGCTATATTCCTCTCTGTCCCTCTCTCCAGAGAGGAGTACCTTTATAAAGATCACCCTTATAACAAAGCATAAAAAAGGAGAAAAAGGCAGTTAAGCAAAACTAACAAACATGTCAACTGAGCCAGCTGGTGCTGGTGGTGTTCCACACCCGTGGTTCCCCATCTCAACAGACTAGGGAAGGAGGTACATTTTCTCATCCCTTTTTTGGATCCATGCTTGGTATTGATAATTAGCATTCAATTTTAATTTGGGGTGGATGTTTACCCTCTTGTCATGTATGTTGTTCTGGTCCTGCTTACTTCACTCTGCATCAGTTAATATGTTTCCTGATGTTTTTCTGTTATCTTCAGATTCATCTTTTCTTAGGATTGGCACACAGCAAGCACTTAATAAATTCTGTCTGTCTGTCTGTTCTCTAGCTATCTTCTGGTGCAGTGTTATTCCATTGCATTCATGTACCACAATTTTATCGAATCATTATTGTGTAAGCTCTTGGTGCTATTAGCTCTTAAATCAATTTCTAGCCTTCGCCATCTTGGTACTCAGCACAGATCACCCCTCCTTCCAGAACTTCTAGATCCAGGCATCCTCTTCCCCTAGGATTTCCATTTCCTAATTCAGTTGGACAGAAATTGGATTATCCCGAGATTAGCCCATGCTCACTAAACTGCTGGGGCAAGTGGGTAAGTAAAGTGTACTTAGAATAAGATCATAGGTTTATAGATAGATACATAGAGCTGGAAGGTACCTTAAAAGTTACAGTTGAGGAAACTGAGGTTTAAAGAAGTTAAATGACTCCCAGGTTTACATAGCTAGTAAGTGTTTGATGAATGATTTGAACACAAGTCTTCTGGATTGTGTTCATTATATCACACAGCCTCACTGGTCACAGCATTGCTTTGCTGGGTCCAGAGGACCTTAGGAATTCTTAAAAGTCAGTCTAACCAGGCCGCGAACAAATACCCAGTTGTTTTCAGCCCTAGCTTGGTGTGGGGAGCAGAAGGTTGGCCGCAATGGTGCCATCTCCGGTAGTAATTCCTATTTCTCTAGTACATTAAGGTTTCTAAAGTGCCTTTCTCACAACAGCCTGAGCATGGTGGGGCAAGTAGTAGTATTCCCATTTTCCAGCCAAGAAAACTGAGGTTCAGAGAGGTCACATGACTTGCTCCTTGTATTCATAATGAATGTCATACTTCCCCATAAGCTTCTTCAGTCAGGACTATGTAACTTTTCGTCTTCCTGTCTATAGTGTAGCACATTGTAGGCACTTAATAAATTAACTTGAATTATCTTGAACGTCACAGCAAGCCCATGAGGTAAAAAGGACAGGAGTTATTTCCTCATTTTGCTGATGAGGAAACACATCTGGAGACAGGAAATGACTTACCCAAGGTCATGTAGTAAGCAAGTGGCAGAGATGGGATTAGACAGGATTAGTTGGCACTGGAGTCCAAGATCTCTGATGCCTAGACAAGTGCTCTTTCCACTTCACTGCACTGTCTTACAACATGGTTGCATGTGTGTACCGTGTGTATGTGTTACATGTGTGTATGCATGTGTGTGTGTGTGTGTGTGTGTGAGAGAGAGAGAGAGAGAGAGAGAGAGAGAGAGAGAGAGAGAGAGAGTGCGCCCCTGTGGCAGGACAGAGAGAAAATCTTCCGCTTTGTGTCCATCCTCCCCTGCCCCCCAGCACTCAGCAGGGCACAGAGTGACTTCTGGACCTCTAGATCCTGGGTCCCCTTGGGATTCCTAGCACAGCTCATTTTCTGCTACTCCCTGGTCCTGACTTGACTTGTGTCAAATGAGTGCACATGAGAGCACTTTACACAGTTACCTGCATTAGTAAGTGTGAGCTATTAGTGGCCATATCGCCAGGAACAATGGAGGAGTCCTAGCCCTGGGCGTTACTGGGTTCTTCCATCTGTGGTCCATAGGATCCTAAGTGGAGAGCTAGAAGGGACTTTAGAGGCCATCTAATTCAACACTCTCATTTTACATATGGGGAAACCGAGGCCCACAAGTTACACAGGTGGCAGAGTCAGGATTTGAACCCAGGCCTTCTGACTCCAAATATAGCTAACACTCTTTCCAGTGTACTACATTGTCTGCCTTTTCCTTCCTTGTGGAAGAGTTGGTGGTGGAACTTTGCTCCTTGATGGGACTGTGCTTGTGCTTTGTTAGAGCTTTTCTCTCTACTGAAATGTGACCTGCCTTTGAATAGCTCCTTAGAAGTCACCCCGCCATGATGCCTTTCTGGACTTGTCCCCCGCAGCGCCATTCAGCCCAGCAGCTTTCAGACGGGCCAGCCTCTTGGATGTACTTGTTTGCCCAGAACGGTGGTTGTGTTTCCTGTCTGTCCAGCTCTCTTGACTCCTCAGGGGCAGGGCTGGTTTTATCTCCCTCCAGTTCCTAGGTTGAGCAGTAGCGGGGTATGGGGTAGGGATGGGCAGGGAAGGGGTAGAATGGGCAATGGAAGGAGAGAGAAAGTGGCTGGTCTGATACAGTTCTGAGCTGCCCACCGCTGCTTGGCCACACGCTTCTGCCTCTGCAGATAGCCAGGCTGGTTTCTGGAGGCTTTAGCCAGATGAAGCCTAGGAGGAGTGGTGCCGTAAGCCTTAATTATGCTGGCCTTCCAAACAGGTGTTTGTGGTGGCCCTGGTGGGCATAGCCCGGGCTGTGGTCTCCATGACAGTCAGCACTTCAGATGCAGCCACGGTGGCTGATAAGGTAAGTCTGATCGTGGAAGAAGAACCCACCTGTCTGGGCCTCATCACTGGTCTGGAGGAGTGGAGCTGTTAAAGCTAGAAAGAGAGAGTGTGTGTGTGTGTGTGTGTGTGTGTGTGTGGTGAACTAGTAGGTGGGGGAAGAGAAGCCAGCTAGGGGAGGGGAGGGAAGGGAAATTTGGATGTGTCTGGCTTTGGGACAAGAGAGCGCAGAGTGGTAGAGGATTAAGTACCCTGGGGCCTCTTGATCTCCTCTTCGACTTTCTGTGTTTTTCAGATTCTGTGGGAAATCACTCGCTTCTTCCTTCTGGATATTGAATTGAGTGTGATCATTCTGGGCCTGGCCTTTGGTATGGACTGAGCTGAGGACACTGGGCTATGAGGGGGGGAGGGAGAGCAGTTTTCTGGGGGAGGAGGTTGGGGCTTCCTGCCCCATGTGGGCACGGCTCTCTAGGGGTGGCCCTCACTGGCCACTTGGGTCGTCTTTCAGGTCACCTGGAGAGTAAATCCAGCATCAAACGAGTCTTGGCCATCACCACAGTTCTGTCCTTGGCCTACTCGCCACTCAGGTAAAGGGGAGAGCGGACTCCTGTGTGGGGAGGGCGGGGATAAGAAGAATGATATTTTTCAGTACAATAAGCATTTATTAAACACAAGGCGACATGGGGACGAGGACCAAAGTGAAATAGGTCCTGCCTTTGAGTAGGATGTGTCCTACTGGGTATCGAGGGGAATACAAGTAAACAGAGCAAATGTAGTAAGTAAATGCAGAATATGTACAAAGTAATTTTGAGAGATAAACAATGCTATCTAAGAGTATCAGCAAAGGCATCCGGTAGGAAGGGGTGCCTGAACTGGGCTCTAAAGAAAGCTAAGGATGCTCTGATATAGTGGTGAGGAGGGAACCATTTGGGCAAAGGCATGGTGATGGGAGATGGAGTGTTACGTATACATATACATATACACATACATACACACACACACACACACACACACACACATACACACACACACACATATATATGTGGAACTATTTACTGCCTTTATGGCTGGGTGGCCCACTGGGCTGCAGTTTCTAAAACTTACACAATTATTAATTCCTATATTTAGAGACTTACGCAGTTTTGCAGTTTAAATGGAAACCCATGCTTGATGTGAAATATGCATGTTCTTCCACTTATCTGTACAGTGGTACCAAAAGTAATGGGATTTCTTTTAGCGGTAAAAAATGAAGCACCTCAAACTTTTCACATTAAGTGTTTGTAGCCACAAAGGACAAAAATATTTGTCTAGGCTTTTAGAACAGATTGTGGTATCTGACAGATTTTCTGTATCTTAGGCTTCTTTTTTTCCTGTGTTACCCCATTTGTCCCCTTATTTCAAAAAGAAAGGGCAGAGCTGAGAGCCATTGATAACTGCCCCCTTCCCCAGGATGTGAGACCTCAACAATCAACTGGTCCAGCACCCTCCTTTTACAGAAGGAAAAACTGAGTCCCAGAGGAAGGGAAGGACCTTTTGAGGTTAAATGGAATAAATGCGTGGCAGAGATCCAAGCTGAGAGCTCCTGATTCCTGTGTCCAGCACGATGAAGCATCTCTGATGGGGAGAGGTGGAAAAACACGTCCCCAGTAAATCTAGGACCAACTATACCAGTCGAGGAAAGAGGATTAGTAGGCAGTGAAGCTGGTTTATAACATCCAGAGTCTTTCCCCAGACTCTCCTTTAGACCATCACAGGCAGCCCTGGAAGCTCCAAAGAAGGGTCAGATGGGAGACCGTTTGCCTTCGTGGAAGGCATAGCCTGCCTACTGAGTGGGGACCTAGCCTGTGCCTGGCAGGGCTGAATGCTTGGCTGTGCTGTGGCTAGAGAAGAAGGCGCGAGGGGAGCAATCGGGCACCCACTCTGCCTGGGAGCCAAGACATACGGGCACATGTGCACACACACATACACACATGTACACACACATATAGGCACACAGGCTGACACCAGTCTAAGAGTGAGTCTGCTCTCGCTTTTGTGGGTTCCTTCAGCCAGGCCTCACATCCAGTGAGATGGGAAGGGCCTTGTCAGCCTTGCAGCACCATAGACACCGGAGTTGTGTGCTTGGCCTGGATGAAAGGCCCTTCTCCCTGCGGCTCGGGCTGCAACGGCCATCTGTGGAGGCTCCCCCGGCTCAGGAGTCTGTGACCCTGCATGTGACCTGACCGCTGCTGTGCTCCAGCCACATGAATTTGGCAGGAAATCAGGAGAGTGACAGATGAAGGAGGAGGCCTTTGCTTGGGGAGGCCCAGGCAGGAAGTGAGCCTCCTCTGCTCTTGCCTCACAGGGGACCTTGGAGATCCTGTACCCTGATTCCCACCTCTCCGCTGATGACTTCAATATCTACGGGCATGGTGGCCGCCACTTCTGGCTCGCCAGCTCCTGTTTCTTCTTTCTGGTAAGGGTGGCAGAGATGAGGGTGGGGTGGGTGCTCTGTAAGGGCTGAGGGAGGCTCCTTTCCCACCTAGCACTTGTTCTTTCTTTCCCTCTGCTCACAGAAATCTTGAGGTTTAGTTAATGCAAACATTATTATCCCTGTTTCCTAGGTGAGTGAAACTGAGGCTCATAGAAATCAAGTGACTTACCCAGGATCACATGGGTAGTTAGTGTTAGAACTGGGACTTGAACCCAAGTCTCTTCTCACTCTGAGCTTGGGGCTCTTTCTACTGCCTGGGGATGGCTCCTGTACTTCCCACGCTTTAAACCACCCAGTCCCCACTTGCTTTGTATTCCTAGGTCTACTCTCTTGTGGTTATCCTCCCGAAGACGCCTCTGAAAGATCGGATCTCGCTGCCATGTGAGCAGCAGGGAGTGGGGGGACTGTCGTGTTAAGGAAGGAGAATGGGGGGGTCGTTGAGGCCAGGGCCTTCACGAGGTTGGGCAAGGCAGTCGGAATTCCCAAGGTGCATGAGGCCAGCATTACCTCACCTCCTAGGAGTGGGAGGATTCAAAGCACAGATTCAGGGGAGCCCAGGAGGGGAGTTAAGCACCTCACCAGGTGTGTAGGGTCACCTCTGGATTGTCCCTAGTTCAGTGCCTTCATGTAGAAAGAGAAGCCGAGGCCCAGAGGGGGTCGGTTCATTTGCCCAGGGTCACTGAGGAATTCAGTGGAGAGCCCAGCCCTCCCATGAAGGCCTCAGCTCCACTCTCCTGGCACAAACCAGGACCCCTTGAGTGGGACTAAGGCTCTCCCTCCAGCGTTGGTGGACGGGTGGGATGGGGTGGGGCAGGCTTTTACTCTCTCTGCTCTCCCTCCCTGTAGCCCGGAAGAGCTTCTATATTTATGCTGGTATCCTGGCCCTGCTGAACCTGGTCCAGGGCCTGGGCAGTGCCCTGCTCTGTGTGGACATTATTGAGGGCCTCTGGTAGGTAGGAGGCAGGGAGGGAAGGACAGAGGGAGGGGGCTGGGGACAAGGGTGGAATGGGGACAGCTCTTTGGAATGTCCAAGAGGGGGTGGGGGACAGTGAGGTCATGAGCCTCACGCCTAACCCCATCCCCCCATCTCCCATCTCCCAGCTGTGTGGACGTGACCACCTTCCTCTACTTCAGCTTCTTTGCCCCCCTCATCTATGTGGCCTTCCTCAAGGGCTTCTTTGGGTAAGCGATCCAGCCCCCCAGGAACCCCTCCCCAAGCCCAGCTGCGCAAAGGGAGGGTCTTTATCTAGGGGTGTGGTCGCCACCCTGTGGCCACATGTGGGAAAAACAGCTTCTTTTTTTAGTAGGGAAAGGCTGGTGTAGGGAAGAGTGTGTGTGTGTGTGTGTGTTGTATCTGTGTGTGGGGTCTGTCTTTGGAGGGTGGTATAAGGGCCCCGCTGATGGCCCCTTGGATGGGAATCTCGTGCTGTGGTGGAGGGGTGCAAACGTAGGGGATTTGACGGTCAGTCCTTGGTTTTGGACATGGGACCTCTGCATTGTTCAGTGTCTCTGTCAGTCCAGCATGGATACTGCCCTCCTTCCTTCCAGGCTGGCCTTTCCCCTCCCACAGTAAGTCTCTCCATTGCACATCCTTCCTATCCCATGTGGAACACTCCCTGCCCTTTGTGGGCGTGTCTTATGCCCCTTCTCATTCGTTTTAGGGATTAAGTGAAGGGAGGCCTTGGTGTTGGCACATTCTGAGGGGGTGAGAGGAGGCCTGTCAGAGGGTGGTGCCATTCCCTGTCTCCCACCAACAGCAGTGTTATGTCCTCTTCCTTCAGGGCAGAGCCCAAAATCCTCTTCTCATACAAATGCCAAGTGGACGAGGCTGAGGAGCCTGATGTGCACCTGCCCCACCCCTACGCGGTGGCACGCCGGGAGGGACTGGATGTGCCAGTGGGCTCTTACTCCAACACTCAGATTGATACAGCTGCCTATTTGGACGATGTGGCCTCCATGCCCTGCCACGTGGGCAGCATCAACAGCACTGACAGTGAGCGCTGGAAGGCCATCAATGCTTGAGCCCTCTCTCCCTGGGCCTACACCTCCCCTTGCCCCAGAAAGGCTTTGAGGTCCAGCAGCCATGGGGGCTTCACCTCCAAACTCCCTAGCTCCTTCCTCACCAAGACCAGCCCTAACCCCACTTGCAGGCTTTGAGCCCCAGGTCTGATTACCTGCTCCTTGTCTTGGCCATACTAGCTGGTGGGCATAACCACTTCTCAGGATCCCCTGGGAGGGAAGAGGAGTCAAGGCAGAAGGATGCCCAGAAGTCAGGGAGAATGCCAGCCGATACAGGACATCTGCAGCAGGCCTGGTGTCTCCATGCCAATCAGATGGCATGGGACTGTTTGGGAAACCTTTGCTTGTAGGAGAGGAGAGGAAGCAGAGTAGGAAAAGAACCATGACAGAAGGGGGGTGGGAGATTGGGAGAGGGCAGAAGTCAGGTGAAGGGTATAGGGGTCATGGAGGCAGAGGCCTGGCAGAAGTGTAGGAGAGAGCTGGCCAAAGTGAAGAGGAGAAAGAAGCCAGGTGGGAGTGGAGGACGGGTGGGAAGCAAGCCCATTGCCACTGGAAGCTTGAGCCCTCTAGGCTGAGCAGAGGAGGAAGCCTGTTGTATATAAAAGCCAGAGCTGGCCGGACTTGAGGCAGCCTGTTTGGGGTAGATCTCCCCATGCTGCTAAAACACAGGGTGATTGGGTGGCTAAGACCTCCCTGAAAGACTTTTCCTTTGAGACCTGGGGACTAGACAGGATAGGCCCTGGGTGGGGACTACAGGTGGCTGCTTTGTGGGGAGTAGAAATAGAGGGGGCTGTGTCTTGAGGGATTTCTTGATCTCTCTTCTCCTTCTTCATTGAGAGAAGAACCTAGCCAGCTCCTGACCCAGAAGAGCTAGTGGGAGTTGGTGTGTGTGCGTGTGTGTTTGTGGTGGAGAATCTCTTTGGGCATATGCCCTGGCCTTCCAGGGCCCTTCTGGAAATCAGCCCAGGTTTGGACCTCCTCTTTTCCCTGCTTGAAGGGAGGGTATACCATGTACTTCCCACCGTGTTGATGGGGACACTTGGGCCTTGGTGATGGAAGAGGTGCTCGTTAGAGGAAGAGCTTTTTGGGCCTGAGGGTTTAGAACCCGACTTGGTTAGAGCCAAGCCTCTCATCCTGCCTGGGCATTGTGTTGAGGTCAGAGTGAGGAGGGCATGTACCAGGCTGGGGACAGGCTCAGGGCTTTCCCTTCTAGCTTGAATGGTTATTTCCAAATCTTTGCTGACCTCCTAGGGCTGGCTCTGCTTCTGTGAAGGGCCAGTTCAGGAGGTATCTTTCCTACCTCTCCCCCGCCCCCCAGTCTCTAGTTAAGAAACCTGAGGCCCATAGATCCTGCTTGGTCTCTCCTCCCCAATGCATAGAGGCAGCATCTCAGCCTCTCAACCTGGGGGACCATCTGCTCCCTAAGAAAGTTTCCAGCCACCATGGGCCTAATCCCCCCAGCCTCCTTCCCTTACTGTCTGCCACAGCGTTTGGGCAGAAGGATCTCTTGTATAGAACCGCTAAGTTGTGCATATTTTACTGTTCTTTGTTTTTAAAAGAAGAATTAAGAATAAGGGGGAAAACAGGCTTTGAATGATGTGGCATTTTGTCGCAATAACTCTTTGGTCAGGAGTCTTAGTGGCTGGCCTGGCCTCGGGTGCTGGGAGAGGCTGAATGGGAAAACCCAGCTCTGTGGCCTCTTCTGGAAGGATGGCTGGTGTTTGTAGAGCGCTTTAAGGGCTGCAGAGGGCTTTACAGAGATGATCGGATCCCCACAACAACCTCACAGAAGAAGAAAGTGAAGCCCTGAGGTTAAGGGACATGGCAGCTTCTGAGTGTGTGAGGCAGAACTTCAGCTCGCGTCTTCCTGACTCCGTTTCCAGTGCTCCATCTTTGTGCCACCTCTAGGACAGGAAGAGTACAGGCTTGGTTTGGGATGGGGGACTGCTGGCTGCTCCTGGGTGTGAACTCGGTGTCTCTAGTGGGTCATGAAGAGACACTTCCCTGGCATGGAGCCTGCCTTACATGATCTGGGCTCCAGGTACCTGGATGCAGCCACGGAGCTTGGCAGTGACTCGAGGCGATGGGGAGGGAGCTGTGAGGGAGGGGAAAGGGGGGCAGGACCCATTGGTTTCCATAAACCATTAGATTGAAGGGGCTGGGAGTTGGCTTCCTTTTTTCACACTCCATCCCTTTCTCCTCTGAAGATGACTTGGTTTACTTTTGCCTGGATAAAGGAAGGTGAGAACCTAGTGTCTAGGGTATGGCCTTGTCAGTTTCTTCAGGACCACCACGCTTCCCCCTTAGTAATTACTGGCCAATGAGGCCAGGTGCACCTTATGTCCAGGCAAAATAGACTGACCCATGTGACGCAATGTTGTTAGGAATGTAGGGAAGTCTCAGTGGCTCTTGAGGTAACATTTTATCATTTGAGCTTCATTCCTTCAAGTTTAACATTGCCCTCCTCTGTTAGGATGCTGTTTTTTTCTCCATCCCTGCCCTGCCCCCTGGAGAGGGTTATCCATGGTCCAATGGTTTGAGACGCAGTGGGTTCCTAGGGGGCTGTGGTGGGGGTGATAGAAAGGGACCAAAAGGGCCATCTGAAGGGATGCAGAAAAGGAGAGCAGGGAGGCCTGCACAAAGACCCAGAGAGCCTTGGACTGTCCGATTTAGAAGGGCCTTTAGAAATGACCTAGGCCAGTGTGGCCATTTTACAGGTGAAGAAGATGTGGCCAAGAAAAAGGAAGTGTCTTGTGCAAAGTAGCCAGGCATTAGGGTCAGGACCAGGACCAGGATTCCTCATCCAGCCAGCCCTGGGGGCTAATTCTTGGTGGGCATTATGACTCCCACAATTGAAGGGAGACTGGCCATGGGCCTTTTCAGGAATCCTCATCCAGCCCCATTTGGCTGTGCCTGGAACCGTGTGCTCCTCTGCTAAGGAAGCCCTGTACACAGTCAGAAAAGAACATGGAGGGGATCAGGACAGGGTTGGCCAATGAGAATGGAGTCACCAGACCCTCTACCTCCCCAAGAAGCTTAGGAATTCGTGGACAAACTGGAGCAAAGTAAGCTTTAAGGTTTTACAAAGTTCCTGACAGAGGCTTTGAAGGTTCCAGGGTGTTCCTTGCCCAAATGAAGGTGTACCTTAAGTTTGGAGAGTGAGGGTCATGTAATAACCCTCATGCATATTCCTGTATGCTGCTGCAGTAGTCTGGGAAAGGCCTGAGGTGCAGCAGCTGGCTTCCGTAGCAGCCTGGGGCAGGGAATGGGGGGAGGTGTGTTGGGAGGCCGAGGGCACTTCTCCAGATCCATTCCCTAGTCAGGAGGCTGGCTAGGAGATGGCTGATCTGGTCCACAGACCCCTGAGCTGCAGAGGGAGCCTGGGGGTGGGGGGTCCTGGGAGATGGCCAATCCGGACCACAGACCCTGAGCTGCAGAAGGAGCCTGGGGGTGGGGGTCCTGGGAGATGGCTGATCTGGATCACAGACCCTGAGCTGCAGAAGAAGCCTGGGTGGGGGGTCCTAGGAGGCCAAGGCACCTCTCTTCCAGATCATTCCCTAGTCAGGAGGCTGGCTGGGAGATGGCTGATCTGGACCACAGACCCTGAGCTGCAGAAGAAGCCTCTATTTGGAGGCAGAGCTCCTGGATTGGGCTCCCAGCTTTGAAACCACTTAGATTAGTGTGACCTTGGGGAAGATGCTTGCCCACACTGGGCTTCAGTTTCTTTATCTGGAAAATTGGGGGTGGATTAAAGTGATTCCTTGAGCCCAAGATTCTATGTTTTTTTCCCCCTAACGTGGAATAATAACCAGTCACCTAGCCTTTAAGTGCCTACTATGTGCGCAGCACTGTGCTAAGCACTGGGGATAGAAAGACAAAAATTCCTACTGTGGGGATCTCACGGTCTAGTGGGAGGGGAGAGACAACATACAAACAACTATATGTAATTAAACTATATGTAGCCTAAGTGTATAATAACATGAGGAATGCACTAAGATTAAGGAGGCCTGGGAAGGAGGATGTTGAGACTTGAAGAAAGCCAGGGCAGCCCAGAGGTGGAGGTGAGGGAGGGCATTCTAGGCATGCAGCTCAGCCAGGGAAAACACCTGGAGGCTGGAAATGGAGGCCAGTGTCATTGGAAAGAAGAGTATAGGGAGAGCAGCAAAATGTAAGAAGACTGGAAAGGCAGGAAGGAGCCAGGTTATAAAGAGCTTTGTATGCCAAAGGAGATCTTTGATCCAGAGAGCAATAGGGGGGCATTGAGGTTTATTGAACGGGAGAGGGCAAGGGTATGGTCAGATCTGCATTGTAGGAAGATCAGTTTGACAGGATTGGAGTAGGGAGAGATGATGTAGGGGAACTAACCAGCAGGCTATTGTGATAATCCAGGGGTGAGGTGATGCCTTAGGGCCTACACCAAGGAGGTGGCTGTGCCAGAGAGAAGGAGGCATATAAAGGAGATGTTTAAGTGTAGAAATGATAGGATGAGGAGTGTGTGTGAGAGAATAAGTAGTTGAGAATGATGCCTGGATGACAGGATAGTGGTATATAATAGGGAAAGTGTTATGTGTGGGAAGGTGGGGGAGGGAGAGGGAGGTTGGGTGGTTTTGGACGCGTTGAGTTTAAGGTGTTTACAAGACTTCCAGTTCAGAATGTCTGAAAGGTGGTTGGAGATGGGAGAAGTGTTCAGGAGAGGGTTTGGGATGGCCAGATCATTTGCATAATGATAATTGAAACCGTGGGAGCTGATGAGATCACCCAGTGAAATAGAGCAGAGGTGTCAGACTGGCACCAGGCCACAAACAAAACTGAAGTGCAGCTGAACCAGATTAAAATGTAATTGGGAAGTGTTTAACAAAATAAAAATCTAACACAGCATAATGTTAATATATGGTTTTCTAAGTTAGTATGTGGCCTGCAGGTTTCTGTTGGAATTTGACACCATTGGTATAGAAAGAGAAGAGAAGAGGACCTTGGCCAGAGCCATAAGGGGCTCCCGTTATTAGTGGGGTGCTATGGATGGATATCTACCAAAGGAGACGGAGGAGAGGTCAGGCAGGAGCAGAACCCAGAGAAAGCATTCTTAAGAAAACCTGGAGAGAGGAGGGTTTGAAGGAGAAGAGGTTGATTGACGCTCAAAGGCTGCAGAGATCAAGAATGATGAAGATTAAGGAGAGGCCAGTAGAATGAGCAATTAGGAGATCCTCGATAACTTGAGAGAGAGCAGTTTCAGTTGAATAGGAGGTCAGAAGCCAGACTGCAGAGTTAAGAGAGTGAGAGGAATGGAAATGGAGGTGCTTAGTGTAGATGGCCCTTAGGGAGTTTAGCCACAAAAGGGAGGAGAGAGGATGAAAAGTAGAAGGGATGGACAGATGAAGTGAAGGGTTTTTGAAGATGGGAGAGACGTGAGCCTATTTGTAGGCAATGGAGAAGCAGCCAGTGGAGGGGCAGGACTGGAGGTTAGTGAGTAGAAGTGAAAGAGGGGATGGAATAGCATCCCTTGGGTATGCAGAAGAGTTTGTCTTGGCAAGGAAGAAGAAAAAATGGCAGAAGGCATTCGAATGATGAGAGGGGGAGAAGAGTGAGATCTCTGCCAAATGGCCTCATGCAATATGAGGCAAGGTTATCAAATGAGAGAGTGGGGAAACGGGGAGCCATGGGAGGCAAGAGGGGGAGAAAAGTTGGCAAGATTGGCTGCCAGAGTGGGATAATGAGTTAATTATGGAGGTGTAGAAGGATTGCTGTTCTGTGTGTAAAGCCCAGTTGAGATTATGTAACATATACTTGTAATGGACAGTCAACACTGTTGAGGGATTTTCCCCACCTTTGTTCAGCACACCTGAGTAGGAACAAAGGCAGTGGATGGTGGGAGGGATTTAAGAAGGGCAAGATCTCCAGGGCACAGAATTTGAGAGGACAGTGTAGAGCTGAATTGGTTTACCAAAGGTTCAGAATAGGTAAAGGAAGAGAGTTTTTATTCTGACTGAGAGCGCTTTGTTGTTTTTGAAGCCAAGATCCCAGGATCATAGGCTCAGGGCTTTGTGGGACCTCAGGGGCCATCTAGCCTGATCCCCAAATTTTATAGATGAGGAAATGGACTTAGCTAAGGTCACACAAGTAGGTAAGTATCAAAGGTGGGATCTGACCTCTGAAAAGAGAATCAGAAATTAATAGGCAGTGTCTGGAAAACTGAGCTTCACCGAGGGGGCTAGCTGCTTGGCCCTTACTTGGCCTTGCCAGTCTCACTTCCCTGGCAAAGCCTTGGAGAGCCTTTGGTCTCTTCCATACCCCAATGAGATGGAGGAATGGGGACTTTGCTGGAGGCTGAGGCCCATCACATCCAACTGAAAACGACCCCGCTCCATCCCTTTCACTGCAAATCAGAACTCACAGAACCTCACAAAATGCCAGAGCTGAAAGGGGCTAAGAGCTGCCCCAAAGAGGGGATGAGGAAGTTCTGCCCTGCTGGTCATCCAGCAGGACACTGGCGCCTGGCCAGCAGCGTCCTGCCACTCGCCACTTCTAGTTCAGGGAATAATCCTCAAATCATTATTAGCAGTGCTCCTGGAAAGGATGGCACAACCTACTGCCCCTTAGACCCCTTGCAGTCCTTGTAAGTGCTTGGATCAGAGGTTCTTAACCTTTTGTTGTATGTGTCAAGGACCCTTCTGGCAGTCTGGTGAAGTCCGTGGGGAAGATTCCTTCTTAGAATACTATTTAAAAATAATTGAAGGAAATGTTAATTCAGTTAGAGGTTAGAGAAAAGAAAGATGTAATATTTTTTCCCATTCAAGTTCACAGATCTGTAAAGCCTATTTTTGGGAGGGTGTCCATCCCAGATTAACACCAAAGATCCCTTCCCTGTTTGTTAGAGTCTTCCCATTAGAACATAAGCCCCTTGAGGGCAGGGACTATATCATTTTTGTATGTAATCTTCACCACCTAACACAGTGACTTGCACATAGTAAGCACAATAAATATTGCTCTGAGTGTTGGGAAGTTTTTCCCTCCATCATGTCTAAATTTGCCTTTTAAGGGATGTTGGCTGTATTGCTCCAGCTGAGAAAATTGTGTGAAGAAAGTGGGTTTGGGATCCTTAGGACCCTAGGATGTAGTAAAACTATCTTGTGATAGTACACACTTGATTTTTCAAAATGGATTGCCATGAATCCTATCCTCTTTCATCCTCAGGATATGCCACTGATGTAGGTGGGAGGCTGGTAGTTGTTCCCATTTTGCAGATGAGGAAACTG